TCCTGGCCCGGCCTCGGGCTCCGCAGAGGCGGCGGGCGCTCGCTGCCCTGGTCCTTCAGCACCCGCGGGCCGGGCTGGAGCCGGCCCAGGAAGGTCGTTTCCCTGTAGTTTACAGTAAGTGTCGGAGCTCCGCTAGACAGAGGCCGCGCGGGCTTTTTCTTTCTACCTTTCCCCCAACTCCCTCCCCAGCTGGCCTCTCGGTCACATCCAGGACTGTGGGCCTCTCCTCCCCACATCCGGCCGCGCCCAGCGCTCAGGGTTCCCCCGGAGATGAGCCCTTTCTGGTGAGCGTTTCTTACGCATAGTCACTGGCTTCTCTATCTACCGTAAAGCCTCAGTATCGTGGATAGTTTCTGCGACTTTTAGTAAAACTAGTGTCAGGAGAGTCATTGATCGTAGGCTGATCTAAACAAGCAACATTCCGAGGGCATCTCATCACCCAAGCCAGGTTGAGCAGCACCACGTTATTGGAGGCCCTGCCGAACGCCGCAGGGTGTGACCTTGGTCTGACCTTGTTTTCAGGACTTGCTCTTCCTCCCGTTTTGAGGGCCCGCAGACACCCCCCCTGGAAATGTTCTTTCCTCCAACTCCCTTTGGGAATCTGCTCCTGTGGCGGCTTCTGAATCTTTCCTCTTTTCGTAAAAATCTCTCCCAAGGACCACCCATCTCGGTGCAGGGTCCTTTCCTAATCTCTCCTACTAAATCAAAGAAACAATTAAAGAATCCCTTGGGAATAAGACACTGACCTAAGCGTTTTGCACGTATTTTATTTCATCATCACACCACTCCTTAGGTAGATGCCAATGAGAAGACCGAGGCACGGAGAGTTTACATACTTTGCTTGCAGTAACAGCTGGGTGTGATGGAGTTGAAATTTGAATCTCCTGTGTAGTTACCCCAAAGCTGTTGCTTTTGCCGCTTTCTCTTTCCCATACACCTGGGCATCTCCCCTTTAGTTGTTTCTGGTGAGGAATTTTTCCTGAATGCTGTCTAGAATGTTCCTGTCTCTGAAAATGTGGCCGTTGTCGACAAACTTTCTCAGAGCTCTCCACACTGGCCCTTGAGTGCTCCGTTTTTACCAGGTGTCTAAGCTCTGAGTTTAGTAATATTTCACATCCTCAAAATGTACTTGATGCTTCGTTTTGTAGTTCTAACCCAGTCCTCGTTAATCAGCCTTCTTTCCCTGAGTGTCATTATTGTTATCACTGTTCTCGGCAAACATTTCAGCAGTTTGTATAAGACAAGATAATTGCAGCCCTCCCCTCCGAAGCCTACATGTTAAAAAACACCTGATTTAGAGACATAAAATGAACTGCAGTTCAAAAGGCAAGACTAAGCCAGATGTGAAGGGTCTTTAGCTCATAGGCCAGTGGTTCTCAACCTTCCTAATGCCA